AATTTCGAATCTGAAAATTAAGTTTAAGTCAAGTCGACGTTGTTGGAAAAGTTTGAAAATATTAGCAGGGATGAAGATTGGTTAAAATAAAGCCATATAATTACACATATAATTGAAAGATTGAAATAAATATTTTGTGTTTTTTCTTTAAAGCGGTAATCAACATAAGAAATCTATTAATCTGGTAGAATCCCCAATAGAACACTATCCATTATCTTAGCTCTGCTCTTAAGTGGATCATAGACCTTATCAAACAACTTTAGCCTTTTTTGCGCCCCACTTCTTACACGTAGAATTGTAAACATATCGTCTTGCATTTGACTCAGTTGTCCTAAAACAAAATTGAGGCTTCAAGAATAAACCTATATTTAGGTAATTATTACATGTAAATATACAATTTAATAACATAAAAGAGAGATATTGTATGCCTCAGTAATACCTTTATAAATCGATCATAACAACGGTTGAAGATTGTCACGGGTGAATCCGGCCATTTCTCAAAGTGAATTAGAAAAATGGAGCAGTCGGTTTCTAAAATTCCGCAAAAACCTGCAAGAACGCCTTGTCTTTCACCAATGGGAGAATCCATGTCGTCAAAATCAACCACAATGCATTCTCCATTAGATAAATTTAATACGTCTCTTTTCTTCACTTTAAGTATCTTGCTAGCTCCTTGCGAATCTTAAAAGATAAAAATAGTGTGAGATAGTACAGATACATAAGAATTGAACAAGCAAAGGATAACAGAGTACTTGACACTAAATTTTTATTTTGCATAATTGAGGCAATTATGATGCAATACTATATATAATCAAGACAAAGCTTTTTGATGGTATTCTTGGCCTTGTAAAGAGAATTAGGTATCCTTGCAAATCCAAATGCATCCTTTAGTAAATCTAGCATCATCGTCATTCCCTTGTCACTTAGCCCAGACAAACACTTTATATGATACAACTGTAACAAAATTCTAGCTTCGAGTACTTGGACCCTTCATATAATTCTTCACTTCCATCTCTAAGCAACTCAAAAAATTCTTTGTTATTTGAAGAAGGCAGATCATTTAATATTTCTTCTTCTCCAACTACTTGTGACGGACCTGCATCAATGGCCTCATGCCTTAAACCCGGGATGCTTCATTTATCAACAATTCCATAGGATTTTCAGGAGGCAGTGCATCTGGGATAACCATTGTGCTTCTAGAGTTCTCCAACACTTCTGTTTCCCTATGAAGAATCCAAGTAACATAATTTTGAGGGAATGACTTGCTAATCAAATGATCGTACACTATCTCTCTAGTCTGCCACTTCCCAAAACCATATTTCGGACATAGACATTTTATTCTTTCTCCTATAGAAGCATTCTAAAATGTAAAATTTAGAAATTGATTCAAACCAAGTAAATACTTTGTTGTATTTCTAGACATTCTAATCCAAGATTTATCCATTGGAAGGTATTGATATATAACCTTTCAGAAGTGATCAACCGATAATGATTTCTCTGAGCAAGAGTGTTTACTGTAACCTACAATATTTTCATGAGAAAGGATGATTTAGTAACATATCAACGCAATAACATTATAATTGAAATGCTGATTCTATTGGCCTATGGTTCTTTTTATGAACCCCTGACTACTATTTGGTTTTATTACTCTTTGTTACGGGCTATAGGCTCCATTTCTTTGATACTCTGGAGAACTAATTAATATATTACCACAATCAAATTTCACTCATCAACCACAAGATTAATAATCCAAAACAATCAAATATTGCTAATAAAATTTATAGCAGCAACAATAGATTTCAAACAATTATGGCCTCCAATGACCAACAATCCAGAAAAATAAAAGCAGATACCATGTAACTGAAGGTAATGCAACAAAATCCAAAGTTTGAGCAGTAAACCATCACAAAAACTAAGGTTGTAACGACCCGGCCGGTCGTTTTAAGAATTAACGCCCTGATCTCCTATTAACTGTATTTTCATATTTGTTTCTGCTATTGTGAGTTGCCGGGAAGGTTTATTTAGAGTTTCAGAGAGTTTTGGGACACTTAGTCCCTGAATGAGAGTTTAAGTCTTAGAATTTGGACCGTAGTCGGAGAAGTATGAAGATGGCATCGGAATGGAATTCCGTTAGCTCCGTTGGGTGATTTCGGACTTAGGGGCGCGTTCGGATTGTGTTTTGGAGGTCCGTAGCTTATTTAGGCTTGAAATGCCTAAAGTTTAATTTTTGAAGTTTCCGGTTCGATAGTGAGATTTTGATCTAAGGGTCGGAATGGAATTCCGGAAGTTGGAGTAGCTCCGTAGTGTTGAATGTGACGTGTGTGCAAAATTTCAGGTCATTCAGACGAGGTTTGGTAGACTTTTTGATCGAAAGCATAATTTGAGAGTTTTTGGAGTTCTTAGGCTTGAATCCATGGTTAATTTGATGTTTCGACGTTGTTTTAGGTGTTCTGAGGATTGGTATAAGTTTGGATAGTGGTGTATGACTTGTTCGTGCTTTTGGTTAAGGTCCCGGGGGCCTCGGGATGATTTCGGATGGTTAACGGGAAGTTTGGAGTTGGGAATTTGCAGCTGAAGCTGCTGAGTTTGCTGTCATAACCGCACCCGTGGCTTGGGGACCGCAGGTGCGAGCCCACAGAAGTGAAAGTGAAGCCGTAGATACGGCCAAGAGGAAGAAAGGCTGGAGCCGCAGATGCGGACATTTGGCACATCTGCGAAGGCGCAGGTACGAGAAGGTCATCGCAGGTGCGGTGGTTGGCAAATAAGTGAAGAACCGCAGATGCGCACCTGGGACCGCAGGTGCGGTAGTTGGACCGCATATGCGGTTTTGCTGGGTCAGAACATATATATTTCGCCCTTCGCAAATTTGGGATATTTTTCATAACATTTCAAATGGGAAGAAGCTTTTGGGAGCAATTTCAAGGGAGATTTTTAGAGGGATTCATTGAGGTAATGTCCTTGGTTCCTAAGCTCGTTATTATGGTGATTTTTATCGTTGTTAGCATGAAATTAAAGGGACAAATCAGTAGTAAATTGGGAGTTAGGGCTTGGTTAATTGGAGAGCTTTGAGTGGTGATTTGAGGGACCATTTGAGGTCCGATTTTGGTACTTTTGGTATGACTGAACTCCTGAGAGTGTGACGATTCTGAATTTTAAATTTTACCAGATTTCGAGACGTGGGTTCGAGGGGCATTTTGGTCATTTTTTCTAATTTCGCGTATTAGCTTAGAATTAATTAGTGGAACCAATTACTTGAAGTTATATTTACATTATGCAATTGATTTGAATAGATTTGGGCCATTTGGAGTCGAGTACTCGTGGCAAGAGCGTGGTTTCGAGTTGATTTTGAGCTGGTTCGAGGTAAGTGGTTTGCCTAACCTTGTGTGAGGAACTCCCCATCGGATTTGGTATGGTTGATATTTGAAATGCCGTGTACGTGAGGTGACGGGTGTGTACTTTTGCTAATTGTTGAAAATCCTGTTTTCATTAATTAACTATAATTGTGTTTTTTTTCCTGTTTATACTACTTGCAATTTAAGCCAACTGTTAGCTTAGGGAAGCATGTCTAATTGATTTAATTGTTTTATTTGACCAAATTGCCATATTTGAATTCTGTGCAGCATGCTAGGTTGGAAATACCTGTTTTACCTTGGTATGAAATTTGAATTGAATTGAGTATTTTTCGTGTTGCTGCCGTGTGTTTTCTTTGGGACTACGGGACGTTATCCCGGGAGATCCCCATGCATGTATACTTTGGGACTATGGATTTGTATTCCGGGAGATCCCCCTGTACTTTTATATTGGAACTACGGGACTGCACCCGGTAGATTCTCCCAGTACTGAGTATTTACATTTGGGACAACAGATCGGTATTCCGGGAGATCCTCGTGCACTATGAGTTGGACTACGGGACGTCATCCGGGAGATCCACTGGATATTTATATTTGAGACTACATGATGGTATCCTGGGAGATCCCCGGTTGTTACCTCTGTGTTGAGTTGTATTCCTTCTCTGATTATTTTATCTCTGTTGTAGTTGTTGTTCTTACTATCATGTATTCCTTCTTACTGTTTGCACTTAATTATAATGTCTTATTCTATACTATTATACCTTGATTTTCATATAAACTCATTAGAGCCCTGACTTTCCTCGTCACTACGCGATCGAGGTTAGGCTTTGCACTTACTGAGTACCTATGTGGTGTACTCATGCCCTTTCTGCGCATGTTTTTCATGTGCAGATCCAGGTACTTCGACCCAGCCCTACTGCCCTTGAGGCGAGGTGATTCTCCAGAGACTTCGAGGTATATCTGCCGTGCCGCAAACCGAGGAGTCCCTTTTCCATTCTCTATTAAAGTATTAGCCCTTTTGTATTTACTTTTGTTTAGACATTCTAGAGTTAGACACTTGTAATCATTCAAAAGTTTGTGATTTCATGAGATTTCGAATTTTGGAAAATGTAGTTTTAGTTTGAGATCTTGCATTAGTATATGCCGAATGACATCTTAAACACTTCTATATTTGCTTATCTTTAGTTTTATTAGTTTTTCCGTATTTTGTTCTTTTTTCGCAATTGTTAGGCTTACCAAGTCGTAGAGACTAGGTGTCGTCACGACAGTTCACGGAGGGCGAACTTGGGTCGTGAGAAAGGTTCAATTAAGTCCCAAATCAAACATCATCAGCTCAAAACGCCACAAACACTTAGCAAAATTAATTTCCTTATATCCATGATAATCCTCTATATCCATGATAATAAAACTACAAAATTTCTAAATTTCATATTTCATATGAACATACTATAATTTAATTTCCATCACATGAAGTTTTTCTCAAACTAATGACAGGTCTGGGATTCCAACATAATTGAAACTACAAAAAAACTATACGACGATTCTAACGTAGATGAACTAGTTGATGCACTTCAGAATAACATCTCGGTATAACATTTGCTCCTAACCGATGCCTGCTCCAATATTATTAAACAGAAAAACAAAAATTGTACCTTGAGTCTGATTGGAAAGCAGTCGGCGACAATTGCATCTTCTCTGAAGGTCCCCAGGAGTTCTAAAATACACATACAAAAGGTAATATTTCAATTAAGACCCAAATCACAAAAACAACCTACAAAATACACAAAAAATCTAAATTTTAGAACCTATAATACCTAACGCAAAAGGAGAAAGAGGACTTACATCTCGATTTCAACAAAGAGTGTTTTATCCTTCTTCAAAATACACCGATTCTACCAAATTTCTGTCGATACTACCAAATTTCTGCCGATTCAAAATACACGGATTCTACCAAATTTCTTCAAAATACACAGATTCTACAAATTAACAGAGAATAAATTTAAAACCCACATGCATGAAGAAAGAAAGACAAAAAAAGCAAAATCAAAGAATGAAAGAGCAAAATCAAAGCAAAAACGAAGAGGAATTTGTATGAAAGCGTAAAATCAAATAAACTTACATCCAATTGATTGATAGATCTGAAGTTTTCTTTCATATCTCTTTCATTTTGCAACAGAGGAGGCGCTGAAGAAAGAGGAGGCGCTGAAGAAAAGCAGAGAGCTATTGTATTTGGAATTTTGCTTTGCTGAAGAAAAACAAAGAGCTACACGGGCTTGAATCGGAGAAAATGAAGAAGAAATGGGCTTGAAATCGGAGGAAATGAAGAGATTAAGCGAAGAGGAGAAATGAGTTTTGATTAAGTGAGAGTAAGAATGGGTTTCTGAAAATGAAAAATAAGCGAAAATGAGAATGGTGTTTGGGAAAAAAGAGAGGGAAAGGATAAAAAACGAGGGAAATATTGGGCTTATAAGTGGGGCGATATTTTTCAAGGGTTGCGGAGGTTACCGACTGCCGTAAATTTAATATATTTGTGGGGTAATAAACCCCCACAATTTGATATAGATTGCGGAGGTTATAGTACCCGCAATAAAACCTCCGCAAATTTAACGTTTTTTGTGGTGATTAAAAAATACAGAGCTCCCAATGTAGACCAATTGTCATGCAAAGAAATGAAAGGATCTCATCTTTTGTTGCCATATTTGATATTCAAAAAGTCGTCTAGCTTGCGACATTTTCTTCCAGCATGTGTTCCTTGTTTAAATGGAACCAATTGCTGGATGAAGCTTTTTTTAATACTTGTTAGACATGAATGCACCTCCTTGTGTCAACTGGCTGTAAAAGCAAAATGTTTTAAGCTTCAGTAAAATTAGAACCAAATTGCATGGCACCAACACTGTTGTTGTTGTGATTGCTGGATCAAAAAAGTATATACAAAATTGAGCTTTAACATTGCACTTCACCTTGTGTCAACGTTTAACGGAAGTTCATCAGATTGAGAAGCATTCCATGTATTTTTAAATGAAATTTCTGCCTGGATTTCACTGTCCGTTATGACCTCAAAACTTGTTCCCAAGAACCTGCGTGTGACACCAAAGTAATAGACTTAATTTTGGATGGTCCAACATCATCTACCTAAATTTTTTTACAAAGAGAAGGTAAATTTACTTTTTTCGAACTCTTCGAGATGCTGTATCATCCCAGAAAACATCCCTCATAAATTGTATATTGTTAGTTATTTCCTTTTGTTGAAAGAAAATTAAAAATGTTAATTATACGCTCTATCATTTTCAACATTTTGGATGTGATTACTCATTATCACCTGAAAAGACGGAGCATAAGCACGCGACAAGATGTGAAAATTCATTTATCCGAGTACAAAATCACAAACACAAACGTACTGCACCATTTGGGGTGAAGTGAATAAAATTGGACCTTATAATGGCTAGTTAAAGAAACATACAATAATCGTTGCATTGGTATTGTGTCATACAATATTACTATAAGAACTATTGTGCAAGGAACCTTACTGAATTTAATCATATAAGACTTACTTAAGTTCTAATTCTGATACCGATATGAACGAGCTCTAAAAGATTTAAACATCCAATATTTGAATATTATGTAAAATAGATTTATTTGTTCAGTTTGAATGTCCAATCAGACGGCTGCCATTGTTTTCATTCTCTGGCTGTTTTCAAAACAAAGAAATAAGCAATTAGAAAGTCAGTATGCAAGTTTTCATAGTGATAACTCCAAGTGTTCCTATCGAGAATTTTATTAATATGTACATTTTTCTTTAAACCAAACAACTCCAAGTGTTCCTATGGAGAATTTTGTTAAAAATATTGTAGTAATAAAAAGAAAAAGGAGAAGAGTGGATCAAAGAAAAACAAGAACTATTGTCAGTTGCTCACAAAGGAGCTCCTAGTTTTCTTTCCAACACAGAATTTCAGATAATTCTAGATCATAATTTGCAATGCTATTTGAACCAAGTATCTTGGAAAAGGTAAAGTGAAAAATCACCCTTGTATTGTAGCCAAGAGAAAATACAGCAGCAACCTCCAAGTGTGCCTTTAGTGTAAAATAGCAAACACTTCACAACCCCACCACCATTTATAGAGGACAAAGCAGCATTAATATTTGTTATGTCGAGGTAGAGCAAACCCGAAAATAAAACAAATAAAGAACATCAAATTTTAACGTGAAAAATCCTTTAAATCGAAGGTAAAAACTACGGAATCACAAAGATCCAAAAAGCTTCACTATAATAATAAGAAGGTTACAAAAGTTCTCCAAATTGGCTACATAACAAGTGCCAAACACGGAGCAATAATAGCAACAACTAATCAATTGAAGAAAGAGGAGAATCCACAAAAATGAAGCTGCTGTTCGAGGATCGAAATTAGATGCTACGAGCCTCCGAATCCGATCTTCACCATTCAAATCAAAGATCAAGATGTTACAAACATTCAGTCAAAATATCAGCCCGATCCAACGGTTAACGAATCCAAAAACTTAATTTGAAGTTGGTTGGTCGGAATAAAAATCTGCAGCAGCACAAATATTTTTCTTCTCTCTTCTCTCTTGATGAAAGCTCTCTCAAAAACTACTCTTATGTGCTTAAGTCTTTCAAAGACTTCTACCAATGAGCATAGAATAATTCTCCATGATTGTCCTATTTATAGATCATGAGTGATACTTTCTCTTAAAGCCAAAACCCACTCAAAATAGGAATAAACACCGAATCCAATTCTGAATAGGAATGGAAACCAAAAGAGAATAGGATTAGGTCATTGGGCCTTTTGTGGACAACATGGGAATGTGCCCAACAACTCCCCCTCTAGGCAAGAGGCCAAATATGTCTTCAAGTAGAGGAAGCCTGCCACTTTTCTACAAAACGCATACTTATCTGCAACCACCGCCTTTATCAACATATCCGAAGAATTTTCATCAGTGTGTATCTTCTCAACCTCAAATAATTTCTCTTCCACAGCCATTCGTATCCAATGATACTTTCTAGTTATATGTTTGGTCTTAGAATGAAAAGTGGAGTGCTTGGTGAGACAGATAGCACTTTGATTATCATAAAATAAGATATACTTTGGTTGCTCAAAGCGAAGATCATTAATAAACTCCTTCATCCATAATAGTTCTTTGGCACCTTCTGCGACAGCAATATATTCGGCTTCTGTGGTGGATAGAGCTATGCATTTCTGTAGTCTAGATTGCCAAGAAACAGCCCCCCTGCAAAAGTGATCAAATAACCGGAAAGTAGACATTGAATTATATGGATTGCCTCCTAAATCAGAGTTTGTGTAACAAACAAGTTCAGGCTTGCCATTGCTAAAGCACAGCTTCAAATCTGCAATATCTTTCAAATACCTTAATATCCATTTTACTGCATCACAATGTTCTTTTTCAGGATTAGAAAGGAATCTACTAACAGTACCAACGACATGTGCAATATCTGGTCTAGTGCAAACCATAGCATACATCAAGCTACCAACGGCAAAAGAGTAAGGAATACGAGACATCTCCTTTTTCTCTTCATCAGTTGATGGACTCTGACTAATACTTAATTTGAAGTGTTTAGCAAGAGGAGTACTAACCACTTTTGCATCTGTCATATTCAACCTCTTGAGTACCTTCTCAATATATTGCTTTTGGGACAAAAATAATTCCTTTCTATCTCTGTATCGGCGGATTTGAATGCCCACAATTTACTTTGTTGGTCCCAAGTCCTTCATCACAAACAGTTTGCTCAACTGCTTTTTAAGGACTGCAATTCTGGGTTGATTCTTTCCAACAATAAGCATGTCATTCACATAAAGCAATAAAATAATAAAATCATCATCAGAGAACTTTTAGAAGAATACACAGTGGTCTGAAGAAATTTTCTTGTACCCTTGTTCTTCTATGACAGATTCAAACTTCAAAATATCATTGCCTTGGAGCTTATTTCAATCCATACAGGCTTTTTTCAATTTGCAGACATAATTTTCTTTTCTCTTAGTTACAAAACCCTCAAGTTGCTCCATATAAATCTCCTCATCTAAATTACCATGAAGAAAAGCAATCTTGACATCCATCTGCTCAACCTCTAAATCTAGACTTGCGGCTAAGCCTAGAACCATACAAATAGAAGACATCTTCACAACAGGGTTTATGAAAGTCAACTCCTTTCTTCTGGCCAAAACCTTTAACAACTAACCTCGCCTTGTTTCTAGGCGTAGAGGTATGGTTATCGTGCTTTATTCTAACTATCCATTTGTTAGATAAAGCTCTCTTACCTTTCAGCAATTTCACTAACTCATATGTGCCATTCTTATGGAGAGACTTCATCTCATCTTCCATGGATTCTATCCACTGATCTTTGTGAGTATCTTGCATGGCTTCATCATAGCTCTTAGGTTCTCCCATGTCAGTCAAAAGTACATACTCATCAGGAGGATAGCGTATGGATTTTTGCTTCTCCCTTGTAGATTTTCTAAGAGAGGTTTCAGGAGCATTCGAAGTAGTTACCTATGCAGGAATTGGTTGCTGATCAACCACAACTTCATCAACTGGAGCATCCATAACATCTACACCATGATGATCATTTTGATCTTGATCACTATCTCCATCATTGTCTTGGGTTGCTTCATGTGCAATAGGTGCCTTAGCAATTGAAACTGGATCAATATCAACTAAGCTCCCATTACTCTGAGAATCTATCTTCTCAACTTTGTTAATATCTTCAATAGTTTGGTCTTCAAAGAATATTGCATCACGACTTCTAATAAGTTTATTGTCAACTAGATCATAAAAACGATACCCAAACTCATCTTGACCATAACCGATAAAGATGTGTTACATCTCGCGCTTTCGTACGTTAAAATTTCATTTTCAGTTAACCGATATAGACTCGGGGATGAGTTCATCTTGACATTAACGTACTTACGCTATTTATAACAAGCGATAAATAAGTATTATGAAGAATAAAGGGGTACACGGATTAAAGAAAATAAGTTTCATTGAAAGTGAACAATTTAAAATAAAATACGGGTCGAACGATAATACCCGATAATTATAAACTAGTACCATGAAAGGTACCATATGACCATGATAGTATAATATATAAAGTATATATGAAGTATTTTAAAAATAAATAGAATTTTAAGTAATTTATGGTAATTTTTAAATTATGCAGGTAATTAATTAATTACCGGGTAACAGGACATTACCCAGTTAACTAATAAGTGAATAAAAAATTAATTAATAAATTCTCCCTCCCTACCCCACGTGGCAAGAAGCCATACAATTAGAAATGACTAAGTAAGTCATTTCTGCTAGATGGCTTGCATAATTTTAACCAAGGCATGACTAAGTCTTAGCAAGTAAGACTTATCTAGGAAAA